CGGGTGACAACGCATCTGCATCTTGAGTCTTTATTGAGGATAGATGTAGATGTCTATGGGTCACAGTAACCACTTACCATCAGGTGGACTGTGTGCTCGTTTGTCACCCGATCATATAAAAAAAAATAGTTGACTTCACTTATGAAACTTTCAAGGTACCATTCCTCTCCGTTTCCCATCCATTCCCCATATCGGGTTATGGTGGATTCAAGTCATCAGGTTTCTTTAATATAATGCTTTTATTTCTAATATTTAGTGGACTTTTGTTTTTTTTTTTTTATAAATATTTAACGTTTGAAGTAAATATTTTGAATAATTGAAGATTTTTTTTAATTGAAAATTTCTCTATACAAAACGACAATTTAAAGATAAAGCTTTTGCAGTTCCACGAGGCATATTGTTGTTTAAAAAGTAGGTTTGTTTTTCGCGAAGCAACAAAAAATTATCAATTATTTAATATCGAGTTATTATCAGTGGATTATCGAACTATCTGCATGTATTTAAACGTTAAGCCATAAATATTTAGAAATATCTTATCTTCACGTAATAGATTTTTGATGTAATAAATATTATTAATCACTATTTAAAATAATTAAATAGAGATTTAAGAGTTAGTTATCTTTAAGCGGTAAATCCACTGGATAGGCTCAACTTAACTCGGAAAGGCGGTGGTAAGCGTCTGGCTTTGGGTGTCGAGTGTGGATGTTTGTCTGTGTGCAATTTACTCTTGTGAAATCTGTCCGGGTTTTAATTTAAAAAAAATGATTGTCTCGAGCAGAAGCTCAGTAAGGGAAGCATAAAAAGCATGTTTTTTTTCCATTGAGGCATTATTATTTTCTATTCTTTATCAATGAATCTTAATAGAAGTGTCTTTTTAAACTTATGCTATGTCGCAAATATATAGATTTCATAGATTGATGTTATGTGCAAGAAGACCGACAGCAACAAAATAACCGACAGCAAAAAAAGTGTGAGTCAGATTTGCACATGAAGGGTTCCCTTCCATCGTAATACACGTTTCTAGTGGGGGAGCCCCCTTTAATTCTTAATTTACTTTTATTTATATTTATAGCGGCACCAGAAATACACATTCTGTGAAAATTGCTACTGTCTACCTATTACGGATCATAAGATATAACCCGGTGACAGACAGACGGACGGACAGCGGTGGCTTAGTAATACGGTGCGGTTGGTTACCCTTCGGGTACGAAACTCTAGAAAGGTTACGTAAAACCGAAGATCAACCTAAGGGACCTAAATTCAGCAGTGGACTGCTGATCTTAAAAAAAAAGAGCATGCTATAACTGTATGGTCCGAAGCTCATATACCTTTTATGGAAAAATTGCGAAGATGCAAAGCTGCTTTGGTCTTCTGCCGCACTGCCTTGTATTATTGTAGAGCATTTCTATGGCTGTTCTTCCTCCTTCTCCTTAATCTGCTTGTGAAGGTTCAATACTGAACTTTGAAAATGCAGATGCGTTGTCACCTGTGAGGACTAAGATGGATTGCCTCTTTTCCAGTAAAAAGGGTCTTCGGTTCTCTACACTCACCATACGAAACACAGCAGTGTTAAGCTGCTATTTTACGCTGGTATTCTGTGAGAGCGTGGTCCTTCCCTGGTCGAGCCGACCTATTTGCGCTACAACTATACTACTAATATAGCTGCAGCATAGCTCTACATTGTATAAAAGTTTCTAACATTGTATAGATTACAACCACAGAACGAAATAAAGTGATGGATTCTCTTACGTTGCCATCACACGGATTCTGTTTTCTGTGACTATTAACTTGTTTATAAATATAAGAAAGAGGTAATTTAATGAACGTATTACGAGAAAATGTAAAATTCCAAAAACTTTTTTTCTGTTTTTTTTTCATATTATAAGCCAGTGCTTGACCATAATCTCACCTGACGGTAAGTTGTGATCAGTGGAGTTGCGTGCCTTAGAAGGGCCCCTGTATCAAAATTTGTCGGGGGGGCTCAAATGAAGGATAAAGATTTTTCACAAAAGGAACAAAAACTCTCGCACTGAATTAAATAATTATATATTGATTATAAGTTATTACTTACAATGAATACTCCTAGGAACTAAGCTAGCCAAACAATTCAAACCAACATCCTGTCCCATAGAAGTCCTTGGAATTTTTGCTTACATACGTTCGGGGCCTCTGTAGGCCGGGGGCCTCGTATCATTGATACGGCTGATACGGCGGTAGCTACGCCCCTGGTTGTGATGAAGCCCTAGATGGTAAATCGCAATCTTAGAGTATTTTTAAATAAAACTAATTTTACGGATTTTATCGCGTATATTAACTTATTTTTATATATTCCCGACGTTTCGGGTGCTTTCCAGCACCCGTGGTCACGGGGGACTGAGTTGTTTGACGTCCTGCTGTCATAGTTAGCCCGGCTACCTTCAGTTTTTTAATATTAATTTTTGGTTCGATTTACGCAGAACGCCTTGGGTTTGGTTTGAATCCTGATAACACTATTGGTCATACTGTGTACAGAAAAAATACCCATACCAACCGATATTTAAATGGTGAATCTCACCATCATCCTTCACAGTTAGCTACCGTGGGAAAATCTTTGTTTCAGAGAGCACGAGGGATCTGTGACAGAAAACATCTGGCCGCCGAGCTTCAGCACGTCGAGCAAGTACTGCAAGACAACAAGCTTCAGGTCCCGCGCCTACGTCACAGTGACCGAGTGAAGCCAGCCACAGTCGAGCGTGTGCCTGCTGTACTACCCTATGTCAGAGGAGTCACAGACAAGGTTGGCTACATCTTGAAGCGAGCTTCCATTAAAACGTACTTCAAGCCGCTGAAGAAGATTAGTCAATTTTTACCATCCGTCATAACTCCGCCGTTGCCGGTCCCAAGCCCGGATGAGAAAGGAGGAGGGGACGAATCCGCCGGAGAGAGTGGGTGTATCCGGTGGACTAACACACCCACCTGCGCTAGGACCTGCGCAGTCGAGCGCCGTACGCGGGGATGAAGGAGTCCTGGAGGGTTGAGCCGATCGTCGCTGGGGTATATAGTGGCGAGAGGCAACACGCCCTCTTTGGTCCGGATTTCAAGCTAAACGGTGGCCCTATCTGCTAGCCACAGATAGGGAAATGGCCAAGCGCCCCGTCAGAGGGTCGCAGGCGAGGGATGTGGGGGCTGCCTAGTCTTCCTGAAAAGGGGGCTGGGTGGTGGTAAAGGCCATGCTGACGGAGCAAGTGACAGTTTATTCGGGTGGTGGGGATGGGCCTTGTCAGCCCCATCTACCAGCTGGATCGAGCTCCCGATGTCGCGCTGTGAGCCAACTTCGCGTCCCTATATTCTCCCGGTAATCCTAACGCCTGAAATTCCTAAAGTAGGGCGTTCCCAAAGGTGCGGGCTCCATGGAGGGTGGGAAGCCGGGGGGATGAATTTTAAAAAAACACAAATTATGGACAATTTAAGGCCCAATAAGAAGGAGGGAGAGGTGTCAGAGGTGCTTACCAGAGACACCAAAGAACAAAAGGGAACCGTCACTAAACCGACGGTTCCACGGACAGTACCGTCCAGCGTAGGTGCCCCCACCAAAGGGATAACCTCGCTGAACGTTTCCAAAACCAGTTCCAAGGAGCTGGAAGAGAAAAAGAAACAAGAGCCCGCAAGTGATAAAACTGCGGAGCCACTACGGACTGACGACCTTTTCTCTGCTGCCTGGCAAGTGGTGAGCCGTAAGGGGAAAGGCAAGGCACCCAAAAAGGTGACTTGCCGACCTGACGGACCATCAGGAGGGTCTATCCCTGCAGGCAGTAGTGGAAAGGCCAAAAAGAAGAACAAGAAGCAGCGGGAAAAAGGCCGTAGAGAACGAGCCGCATTGGCTGCTTCAGATACCAAAACCAAGGAGGCTGGGCAAGCTACTGCGACTGAGGTGCTTGGCGCTGGAACCAGTAGCCGCGCTGAAGCTGGGAAGGATAAAAATCCAGCCCAAGTGGAAGTCGCGGACGCGGGAACCAGCTCTAGGATATCCGCCAGGAAGCAGCGAGCGGCCAAGCGTCCTGGGAAGAAGGAAAGAGCAGCCAAAAGGATGCTGGAAGAGTCCACCTCGCCTAGAGGTGAACACAAAAAAGTGAGACTCGAACAGCAACCAAAGACTGCAAGAACGAGCTACGCTTCCGCTGCTAAAGCAGATTTGGGTGTGGCCTTAACGTGTGCGCGTTCAGGTCACATTACGAAGGAAGTAGCAGACGACATCCTCGTAGCAATACAGAGGAAGATGATCAGCGAGGCCTGGAGTAGCCAGGACCCTGATGCGTCGGGCCCAGTTTTTAGGGGCAAACCCGTTTATACGGAAGGTGTCCTGAAACTGTGGTGCGACGATCAGAAGGCTCTGGACTGGTTGAAGGGGAACATTGCTACCCTCGACCTTAAATCCAGCACCTTGCTGACAATAAAGAAACAGTCAGAGATACCACAAAGAGTCAAATGTGGTATCCTTATCCCTGATGCCCAGGGGGCCTGGAAAGACTCACGCGACATTGGTCGCGTGTTGGCGTACCAGAACCGCTGGGTTAACATCAGGGACTGGCTGTTACTCAAGGCAGATAAGCAGACGGACGGGTGGTTCCTCGTTGTTTCGGTGCCGGAGGATCATATCCCGACCCTGATGAAGGCCGGACGCCGTCTCGCATGTGTATGCGGGGCGGTATACGTAAAATTCCAGGGTCGTGGAGGCAAATTCTTTGATACTCCACCGAGCAAAGAGGTAGAAAACAACCCGGAAGTTATGGATACCGAAGCCATAGTTACCGGTACAGCGGAATCACTGGAGGCCAAGTCCAGTGAAGAAACGGCCTGCACAATTGAGCCGAAGCCCCCAGTGGAGATTGGGCTCAGCGGCAGCTCACTGAGTGACGAGGAGGACTGCATTTTGCCGACCACCTCCGACTCGGTGGCTGACGATGAGACCCGAGATCTTCTGGCAGGCCTATTTTTGGGCGGGGACGGGGAGGACGCGATCAATGATGGCGTGCCCTTCGTCCAAAACTAGCCTAGTGCAGGCCAACCTCCACCACAGCGAAACTGCGTCGGCTCAATTACGCAAGTGGTTGGAGGTTCAAAGGACTGCCATAGCCTTAATCCAGGAGCCATGGGTTGGGGCTGGTAAAATTAAAGGCCTAAACAACCTAAAAGGTAAGTTATTCTACAGCTCTGAACACGACAAGCCTAGAGCGTGTATTTACACTACTAAAGATATCTGTGCACAACCTTTAACAGATTTCTGTTCTAGAGACATGTATGCCGTAGCAATACAGTACACACAGGAGAGTAGATTAGTCGTCGCCTCGGTCTACATGCCGGAGGAAGACACTCCTCCACCTCATGACCTCAGCAGGCTGGTGAACTTCTGCGAGAGGACCGGACTAGAGGTTGTGATCGGGACGGACTCCAACGCACATCATCCCCTTTGGGGAATGGAAAAACCAAATGAACGAGGTAAAGTTTTAGTTGAATATTTATTTAGTACTAACCTAACCATTTTAAACATAGGTTCTGAACCTACTTTCATAAACAAACGCTGTCGCACTATAATCGACCTCACACTTGCAACAGAAGGAGCAGCCAAACTAATTACGGGATGGCATGTGTCGAGAGAGGCCTCATGCTCAGACCATAGATGGATCTGCTTCGCACTACAGGTCGATATCCCCTCTACACCACCATGGAGAAATCCCCGCAAGACAGATAAAACTAAATACCTAAATAGGCTGACGTCTTTGCTAGCGGATTTTGAGGGGATAAATACTATAGCAGATCAGTCGCTCCTAGAAGAACAGGTAGCAGCTGTTACTAAGGCCATGATAGACAGCTACCATGAATCATGTCCAGAAATCACTCCACCAAGACATGCCGAGGTAAAACAACCGTGGTGGGGTAAAGAACTCGATAGAAAACGTAAGAAGGTAAGAAAAGCTCTAAATAGGGCCATGAATACCTCAATGGATGAAGACTGGCTATTATATAAGAAAGCTAAGTCTGAATACAAAAAATGTATCAGGTATCGACGCTCGATTGGGTGGCGTAAATTCTGTGGCAACATAGAGACCTGCAAACAAGCAAATAGGATTAGGAATATTCTAGCTAAACAGAACACGTCGGGATCCATGTCTCTAAAGAAACCCGACGGTAGCTACTCAACATCGCCGGATGAAGCCCAACGCATCCTAATTGAAACGCACTTCCCAGGTTGCTGCGTAACCCAGGAGGCAAACCGGCATGACGACATACTGACATCAACAGCAGAAGACTGGAATTTAGCACAGAGAGTGGTAACGATGGACAAAATCCATTGGGCCATTCACAGTTTCCTCCCCTATAAGGCGGCAGGACCCGACGGCATATTCCCGGCACTCCTACAGTGGGGGGGTAAAGCCCTAATAGTCAGACTTGCTGCCATAATGCGAGCCTGTCTTGCTCTTAAATATGTTCCTAGGGGATGGAGGGAAGTGAAAGTTACATTCATACCCAAACCAGGTAAGAGCGACTACACTGACCCTAAATCCTACAGGCCCATTAGCCTCACATCCTTTCTCCTAAAGACGATGGAGAGGATGTGTGAAAGGGAATTAAGGGGGTCGGCGCTAATGAACTTACCACTACACGACAAGCAACACGCCTACAGTCTAGGCAAATCAACAGAATCGGCCCTTCATAAGGTAATTACAAAGATTGAAGAGGCCATCCAAAACAAAGAAATATGTCTAGGTTCCTTCATAGATATAGAAGGTGCTTTTGACCGAACGAACTTCTCCAGCATAAAAGGTGCACTCGGTAGACACAAAGTTGAACCGGCACTGATCGACTGGATAGTTTACATGCTCAGTACACGAATAATAAAGATTGCTGGTGAATCTCAACCAATCCAAATTAAGAAAGGCTGCCCGCAGGGTGGGGTTCTCTCACCTCTCCTGTGGAATATGGTCATTAATGAACTCATCAGCAAATTAAATGACAATCACTTCTATACAGTAGGTTATGCTGATGACCTGACAATACTGGTCTCCATTTTAAAAGGCCGGCAACGCATCTGCAGTTCCCCTGGTGTTGCAGTTGTTCGTGGGTGGCGGTACTCACTTACCATCAGGGGAGCCGCATGCTCGTTTGCCCCCTCTTCTATAAAAAAAAGTTATAATATGCATAATATCCAAGATCTCACATATTATATGCAAATCGACACCACAACAATTTATTATACTCGTAGCTGATTAAGGTATATTTCTAATATAACCTAGATCAAATATACGTGGTAGAGCCATGCTGCAGCTATATTAGTAGTACAGTTGAAGCACGAATGGGTCGGCTCGACAGGGAAGTATCACCCTCTCACAGAATACTAGCGTAAAATAGTAGTTTAACACTGCTGTGTTTCGTATGGTGAGTGTAGATAATCGGAAAGACAGCAAGCATAGTGTGCGACCTGACCCAAGCGGCTCTCCGTATAGTGGAGAGATGGTGCAGGGAACACGACTTAACTGTCAATCCAAATAAAACGGTTTTAGTTATGTTCACACAAAAACGAAAGCTGAATAACTATCATCCTCCAAGTCTTTTTAGCACAAAACTCCAGCTATCCTCTGAGGTAAAATATTTAGGTCTTACCTTGGACAGCAAACTTAACTGGAATAAACACATAGAAAACAAAATCAACAAAGCTAGTATAACTTTCTGGCAATGCAGAAACATGATTGGCAAAAGATGGGGATTGACGCCAAAAACCATACTGTGGCTTTACAAAACTGTAATTCGGCCCATGATCACATACGGCGCTCTGGTATGGTGGACCAAGACAAATGAAGCCACCATAATTAAAAAGCTTCAGCGCTACCAGAGACTGGCATGTATGGCTGCTACAGGCTGCATGAGAACTACGCCAACAGCAGCCTTAGAAGCGATGCTGGAGCTAACTCCGCTTCATCTACATATACAACAAGAAGCGACTTTAGCTGCCATCAGACTCAAGACCCTAAATCTTTGGAGTAAGAATAGTGTCCCTCATACAGGCATAATTGATAGAATTCACTCAAAAATTCCTATCCTACAAGCCAAATACGATAGGATTCCTAAACAATTTGTTTTCGATAAGAAATACAAGATACAGTTAAATGAAAACAGCCAGCCGGAAGGATTAAGCCCAAAAGAGCTTAGAATTTTCACCGATGGTTCTAAAACAAATGAAGGTGTAGGTTGTGGAGCTTTCTCTGAAGACCTCAATATTCACATATGCACACCGCTGGGTACCTATAACACGGTCTTTTAGGCGGAATGTATGGGTATCATTCAAGCGGCCATAGCAATAGATGCTAGGAAGGTTAATGACTTCCCCATCAGAATACTGACCGACAGTAGGGCGGTACTCCAAGCCCTGAGATGCAATGTGGTGAACTCGGGACTAATATATGAATGCCATCAACGATTAAATGAGGTATGTAAAAACAACAATGTGACCCTGCAATGGATAAAGGGACACAGTGGATCCAGAGGCAACGATGCAGCAGACGAACTTGCCAGAAGAGGATCGGCTTTGGCCACTATAGGGCCGGAACCAATCATACCAATCCCCTTTGGTAACGTTTGTTCACTGGTACGTAGACACTTTACTAATCAACACGCTCAGCTTTGGAAAAATCTAGTAGACTGTAGACAAGCTAGGGATGCCCTGCCTGAAATTAACAGTCGCTTAACAAAAGTTTTAATGAGACTGAACAAGCCGCAGATTAGGATAGTAACAAGTGCTATCACAGGACACGGCACCTTTAACAAACATTTATTTACTATAGGTGTTACAGATAGTCCCCTGTGCAGGGCATGTATGGGGGAGGAAGAAACGGCGGCCCACGTGCTACTGAAATGTCCGGAGGTCGCTACATACAGGGCTAAACATCTCGGCACGCCGGGATCACTCCCCGAAGTTGCATGCAACATCAAGGGCCTGTTGAGCTTCTTCGGAGAGATCTCATGGCTCGAATAATCACATTATTCCTGCCCACACGCAAAATACGCGCATAGACGTGGAGTTGCGGAAAACAGCCCGTCGTAAACTAAACTAAACTAACTACCATCCGTCATGTGTCAAATCCCTCTACAAGATGCAGGAGTGTACAAGCTGGATTGTGAATGTGGTCTCTCGTACATAGGACAAACAAAAAGATCTATTAAAACCCGCGTTAAAGAACATATAGCTGACGTGAAGCACCGACGTATCGGGAAGTCTGCAGTTTGTGAACATGTTTAAGATCGTCCCCGCCATTACATTAGATTTGATAGACCACAAATCCTCGCAAAAGAACACCGATTCCTCCCAAGGATGATTCGCGAGGCTATTGAAATTAAAAAACATCCTAATTTCAATAGAGAAGATGGATGGGTGCTGCCATCTGCTTGGGATCCCATAATTAATAAAATCAAATCCAAACCCAAGTATACCACTGCTAGACTTCAAGATACTGTAAGCTCATTCTGCGTAAATCGAACCAAAAATTAATATTAAAAAACTGAAGGTAGCCGGGCTAACTATGACAGCAGGACGTCAAACAACTCAGTCCCCCGTGACCACGGGTGCTGGAAAGCACCCGAAACGTCGGGAATATATAAAAATAAGTTAATATACGCGATAAAATCCGTAAAATTAGTTTTATTTAAAAATGTGTAGTGTTCGCGTAAATATAAGAAATCTTAGAGTAACTAAAACCTATTCACTCTTGCCTTGAAGACGCCCAGATTGTATTCGGACGGAAAGATGGTCGCCAGCAAATTATTCCACTCCTTTGTTGTACGCATTACAAAAGACGAAGCAAACCGTTTGGTTCTAATGCGTGGAATATCGACAACAATATTTATCTTATCGTTGCCGTGTCGTTCGATCTAAAAACCGTAGAGTGTAATAATAATTGTGGCCGCGCCGAATTATGACATAAACAACGCCATTCGTTCGCAGTCGGTGCTTGACCGTCGACTAGTGTTGCAAGTGAGTCCTTTCTAATTATTTAACGTATCGCGTAGTGTAAGTTCGCAGTGGTTTTATTAAAATTTAATGCGTCAATAAAATAATTATTGTAAAACAACATAGGATATTTTTAGGTACACAATAATTAATGTGGAGAGTTTTGGTAAAGATAAATGTTTTGTAAGTTGTGATATGTGAAAGTATTGTGTTAGATTTATATTCTAAGTACTTATATATATGAAAGTTAATTGAAACGACAGTAAGATATTTCAGATTTTTTTATGTTCTTCTATTTGTGGATATATAAGTCATTTTATACACTTTGGTAGGACTTCTTCTCTGCCTACCAGTCCGTCGGGTAGGTAACACCTAGATCTGCCACCTTTTTTTGGAATAAATATGATATTTTTCCCAAAAAACATGCAAAAATATAGTACTTTTGGGAAATTCAAGAAATAAAAAGTACACATTAATTTTTAATATTAATGTATTTTTCCATATATATTTGTTATTGCTCTTCGCTTTGACCATCAACGATCTATAAACCTTTAAATTAATTATAGGAATCTGAGCAATTTAGATTCATATTAAAATATATTACTTACAATTCATTTTTAAATTCTCTGTATTTCTTCTTTCCATTTTACAAAAATTCTTTCAGTAAAACTTACTTGTTCCAGACTTCCAGTCACATTTAACATTTTTATGCTTTTTTAAGGGCGACAGTTGAATTGGGGATAAAATATATGTAGTATTTTTCGTACTATATTATTTTTCTATAATACTAGCTGTGCCCCGCGGTTTAACGCGCGTTTATCACGTGTCTGCGCCTCACGACATGCGAACTTCGAGAGCGACATCACGACGTACGGTTGCTGAATTAACAAAGATCTAAAAAGTGAAAGTTTTTTTACGTGGTAGAGTCATGCTGCAGCTATATTAGTAGAATAGTTGTAGCGCGAATGGGTCGGCTCGACCGGGGAAGGACCACGCTCTCACAGAATACCAGCGTAAAATAGCAGCTTAACACTGCTGTGTTTCGTATGGTGAGTGTAGAGAACCGGAGACCCTTTTTTACTGGAAACGAGGCATTCCATCTTGGTCCTCACGGGTGACGACGCATCTGCTCTTTGATTCGTAATCGAAGATAGATGTAGATGTGTATGGGCCACAGCATCAACTTACCATCAGGTGGAGTGTGTGCTCGATTGTCACCCTTATCCTATAAAAAAAGGCTCTTCCCTAATTCTGCCGCCAATTAGCAGTGCTCGCACTGCTGTGGAACACAATACACTGTAGGTAATGTAATATAATATTATTATATAAATTAATGTTAAAAAAAGGCTTGCTGGGTTTTTGCTAGTTCTTCCTAGGACAGGGTTTTTCCGAACCAGTGGTGAAGCTTAAATGATTTTCTAGAAGTATTCTTGTATATATGCAGAATGAAAATGATTCTATTCTATTATTAGGAAAACTTAGGTAGGTATATTCTTTCCAAATAAAATACTTTTTTTAACTAATATTTATAAATATTATACTTTTAACAGTTAACATGCCTAACTCCCGTTATTGTTTTTACTGTTGTTTAATTAACATAACCAATCCAAACAAGCCTATATAATGTTTGTGTTATACAGCCTAAATAACGTTTGTGTTATGAGCGGTTTACCACAGTAGTCAAAAGGCGAATTCGGATCCATGACTTTTTATTTGCCGCCCGCACCCTTAAACATCCTTCTACTGTCGCCTTCCTTAAAGGTACCCGACCGGATCATGAAATTAGTTTTCGATATTGTATATTTGTTGCAGCTGTGTTATACTTGTAGGATTCCTGGCTAGTAGTGCATCTGAGTAGCGCATCTGGTGGTCCATCTTCTCACATATTCTGCCGGTAATCAACAGTGCGTGCACTCCTGTTATTCGGTCTGAAGGATGTAGAGTCCGTATTACAGGCTGTGAGGCATTCCATCCGAATCCTCTGAATAGAGGTATCTTTGTGGCCATCCATCGATATATATGTACTACGCACTAGATTTCCGAACATTGGCTATGTCCAACTAAACTGTACTGCAATCCATACACTAAACTAAATATTGCGTAAATTGAAGATTTGTGAATTCCATAAGATAATTATTATTACATTTTATTTAGAAATATGTTTGTTTAGATTAAAATAAGAGTCTTTTATATTAAATTCTTGTACATATTTTATATTAATATCTTATTTTATATTATACTAGCTGGCCAGGCAGACGTTGTTCTGCCCTTTCCGACGACCCTTCCTATAAAAAAAAAACCTTAAATTCGCAATAAAAGAATATTGAAGGTCACTTATCGGGATAAAAAGTATCCTATCTCTCAAGTTGGACCGAACTGCGCAGATGTGCAAAATTTCATTGAAATCAGTTCAGTAGTATAGGAGTTCATCGCGGACAAACAACGTGACACGTAATTTTTATATATAAAGAAAGTCTTCGCGCATACGCGACTCTACTATCTCCCGCGCATGCGCGAAGACATAGAATAGCGCATAATTTTCGTTTGGAATATCTCTAGTAGGTAGTACATATAACTCAATGGTGGCCATCTTTTTTTAAAGTTGTATGCATGTCCGTGGACTGTACTTGGTTAGTACAGTACAGTAAGCTCGTTTGACATTTCCGTTTTATAAATAAATCTAAAAAAAATCTAATTTTAAACACGATTGTGCCGGCTCGACGGGGAAAGGACTACGCTCTCTCAGAACACCAGCGTAGAAATGCTACTGTGTTTCGTATGGTGAGTGTAGAGAAGCGATGACAACGCATCAGCATTTTGATTCTTTGACAAGAATAGATGTAATTGTCTATGGGACACAGCATCCCCTTTCCATCAGGTGGACTGTGTGCATGTTTGTCACCATTTTGTATTACCTCTATCACTTTAAGCCAAGTCACCGTGACACCACGAGACTTAACGACGTCTTAAAATTGAGTATTTGCGTTCTTTAAAAAAAATACTGAATTTAATTTTATGATCAATCACTTCCCTTTTTTTGATGCTCATTTAATTATTGATATTTAGGACACGTGATATGCGAAAGAAAATTGTTTATAGACCAAACTGGAAGAGGATACTAGAATAAGTAACTAAGTAGTAAGTACTGCTAACGTATGATGTTAACGTTAAACTTTGTGTTCGAAAAACTGTGCTTGACTGAAAGTGAGACCGTGCGATTTATTTATTCATTTAGTAGCTGGTACCAGGGACGTTGATGCCGCTAAAGAAGAAATAGTGGGAAATATCGTTTTAAATTTGGAAGAGTTATATTGTTTAATGAGGGCTAATAATTTTCTGCTCACCAGATGTCGCTAGTTGACACTGAGGTAAAGTTTTTTTTGTTACAAAATGTAATTTAATTGAGAAGTTAGTCTTTAATAAAAGTTTATCAGTTTCTAGAGTATTATATTAATACACAAAACAATGCGTCAGTGGCTTTTTAATTTCTTGCACATTATTAACTTTTTTTTTAATTTTTCTACTTTTATGAATATCCGTGGTTTGGTTTATTTATTTTTAATGTTATTAATATAAAATATAGCTAATAGTACAAAAAGAAACATTAACATTTATATTTTCCGAACAAATCAACTTCCCTGCTATGAAATATGTCAAATATTATACCTCACTATCTAGTGGCGCCGCCCTGGTGGCAGAAAAGTCTTGGATGCTCTCATTAGGAAGGATAGATAATACATTCATTGAAATCAAAGAGATTTAAATATATAGCTTTACTACTACTCTACTTAAATGTCTTTGATTGAAGTTGATTGATATACAACTTTGAAATATTTTTTTATTGCGATACGCGCGCCACCTACTGTAAATTAATTGTATTATGCCTATAAACTTCGCGCAAGTGCAAGCAATAAGTTGTCAAAGTTTTAACGCAATCTGATGCACGGTATGGCAGCGCATAAAATACGAACAAACAAATATTAAGTTTTATTTAGATTAAAAGTATCGTTTTTAGTAAAGGTTGCGCT